TCCTTGGGTTTCCAAGGCAGTATCACTACAGAAGTAGATTGCCCAACCTTCCTTCCGAGGAGTGGCTGGTGGGTTTGAACCACCAGCCTTCTGGTTAGCCAAACAATAGATATCCCTATAAGGTGAAAGGGAGCTCTGGTGGCATAGTGCCAAAGGCATTTGACTGCTAACCGGAAGGATGGTGGTTCAAACCCACCAGCCACTCCTCGGAAGGAAGCAATCTTCTTGGCTGGAGCAATCTACTTCCATAGTGATACTGCCTTGGAAACCCAAGGAGGGGTCGCTATGAGTCGGATCTGACTCGACGGCAGTGAGTTTGAGTATAAGGTGAACAATAACACCAGGGAGGTATGCACTCTTTTGAACAACCAATCACACGAGATCAAAAGGGCAAGGCTTTGCCCATGGATAAAGCTCAGAAGGCAGGAAGGGAAAGGAATGAAGAACTCATGGAAACAATAAATACAGGAAAGAAGTAGGAAGAGCTGTTACATTGTGGGGACTGCAATCAATGTCATAAAACAAAATGTGTCTGAATTGTTGGACTGCTCTGTAAACTTTCGCCCAAATCCAAAAAGTTAAAAAAAAGAAAAAGAATTCAGTGCCTGGGAAAGCCTGGCAGCCCCTGCAGAGACTGCTTCTGCATTGATGATACTGAGAAACTGAGAAAGAGCCCACCACCTCTTCCCTCCCTGGCTGCTAAGAAGCCAAGAGCTACATTTTAGGCAACTGTGTTTACTCTTGGGGTTCATATATTTAAATTTTTTTTCTTATCCTGACTTTCTACCTCATTTCTTTTGTCTTCCATCCTTGGATAAGTACTTACTGTAAGTTTTTCCATGTTCCTTGAGTTAAGGAAACCAAACAAGGCAAACACAGAAAAGAAGAAATCTTTCACAAAGACATCTCTTGGGCTAACATCTTTATATAATAAATTACCAACTGCAGAGAGTGATTTGTGTTTTCCACAAAAAATTGTGCAAAAATCAGATTACAGAATATAGTATTTACCTCCTCTTCTTCTATCTTTGCCCAAATAGCAAAAATACAATTGAGATTAAATGACTTTTTTAAGACAATCTAACCGTTTCCCCTCCTAATAGCCAACTAAACACTTCAGGTAAATTATGTTTCAATTCAAACCAAATAACATGCACTAACTTTACAATTCTCTGACTCCTCCTTCTAAACACTTTTGCTATTGTTACTTCTTAGCCTTTATCACTTATCAACAGGTTGGACGTCAGAAGATATTTGGGGTCTTCCAATGTTCAGTTCACCACTGACAAGAATGCTTCTCCCCGATATGAGGCCCAGTATTCAGAGGCACTATCATTTCTTCTTTTCCCAAGATGATTAAGAAATAGTTTCTGTTTCATGACGGGCAAGGGCTTCAGGAAGAGTTGTGCCACAGGGTCCCTGGAAATGAAACCTGAAACACAAGGGCCAAATATAGCAGAGTTATGAGCTATGGGTTAACAGAATGAACACGTTACTTCAGCAAGTCACACATCCCTTAGTTACACCTACAGTAAAATCCAAATTCCCACAAATAAGGTGTTTGCAATTTCTGTGCCTACTTCTTTCATCTCATTTCTGACAATGCAAGATACAGACACTTCACTATGGGCTCACTATGTAGCCAAGAGAACTTAGGGGAGTGATTGCTTAGAATTTATGTGGTATAAATAGGAACTTTGTTTTAAGGGATAGGGGAAGACATGATTGTAAGGTATATTTTACTATTGTATTGCCAAACTCATTGAGTTTGTAATTCATCACTGAAATTTTATGTTAAAAAGAATATATATATATGTGTATATATCTATATATATATAACAAAAACCAAACTCACTGCCGTCAAGTTGGTTCTGACTCATAACAACCTCTCCTTGGGTTTCTGAGGCAGGATCTCTATGGAAGTAGATTGCCCAGTCTTCCAAGGAGCAGCTGGTGGGTTTGAACCACCAGGCTTCTGGTTAGTAGCCAAATGCCTTAGACACTATGCCACCAGAGCGTGTGTATGTGCATATGTGTGTGTGTGTGTGTCTATCTATATCTATCTATCTATCTATCTATCTATCTATATATATATATATGGCATTAAAATAGCATTCACATGTGCTGAGGACATAAGCAAAAAATCAACTCATACATACATAAGCTGGATTTTCGCTGACAATGATTGGCAAGTACACAGTTAAGCTAGATGTGGAATGTTGTACCTAGAAACCCCTGATCTGAAGCTGTGTACCTGGATTGGACATCAAGTCTGTGTCTCTGTGGGAAAGAGACTTAGATTGTCTAAGTATGAGTTGAGCAGGATATTTCATTCTTTACTGACATCATTCCAAACAGCAAAGTTTCTGAAAGTTTATGATTTTACAGAACATAAGATTTTTAGACCAGACCATAAGGATTTTAACTGAATCAACAGGCCTCTCAAGTAGTCCATTGGATTCTATGAATTCCATGTGTAGTCTCTGATCAGGAGTCAGAAAGCAGAAAGAAGAGAAAAAGACAAGAAAGCAAACTCAATGAATGGTTCCCTGCTTCATTCAGGGAAAACACTTAGGACAGGAGAGGGAAAACAAAAACAACCATGAGTAAGAAACAAAAAGCAGCACTTTCTAGCATATTGATAAATGGAAATGGTAACCACAGGAAGTAGGAAGAATACTGTCACATTGTGGGGACTTCAATCAATGTCACAATATAAAACGTATGAAAAGTTGAATGGAAAGCCAATTTGCTCTGTAAACTTTCACTCAAATCATAATAAAAAGTTAAAAAAAAAACACTTAAGTACAGCAAAAACTGGAATTTGTCATTCATATAGTTATTCTTGATACAACATAAAGCATGAACGCCTTAACCCTCAAATACAATACAGTTCTCTTGATCGAATGCTGTGTAATAGGCATCCTTGACCTAATGGCATCTGCAATCCTCCTACCACCCACAGTATACCAAACACTGGCCCCAGAAAACTCTTCACCAGCACAGAGGTCCTGGTCCCTTGAGGACTCTCCAAGAATTACAACCAGGCATGGAGAGCTTTTAGGGAATTCTCAGATCCTCAACTTCCAGACAGTCTTTCTGAAGAAAGTGACTTTCAAGTGCCCCTTTCTATATTCACCCTTCTCTCACTTTACAAGCTGCACCACTCACCCGTCCCAACTCTTACAATGGTGCCTTATCCCAGAGTATAAAAACCCACAGGTGCCAAATAAACAGACAATTGAAATACTGGTGCCAATCTGAGGAAACAAATGATTTGTAAAGACTAGGCAATATATCTTTATGCAAGTCAGGCAGTTTCAACTCTTACTTCCAATAAGATTGTAAGAGGGTTTAAAATAGATTTCAATGAACAGATAATTAAATGATACAAAAATTATGTTTTGGCATAGAACCTGGAAGCGCGTTAAAATCTGAGTGGCAATGCTATAATAAAATTCCTTTCTTGCCCTAGATTTATGGGATATAACTACTCAACTACTAATGTAATGCAGAAGCAGCCACAGACAATATATAAATGAATAGCCCTGACTGTGTTGCAATAAAACTGTATTTGCAAATACAGGTGGTGAGCAAATTTGGCCCAGAGGCAGTAGCCTGACAATCCCTGACCTAGAGGAAAACTTAACCAAAGTCTGTTAAGAGTGAGATAGAAAAGAAAATTCTGCCCCTGCTCAACTGCATTTAAACAAGCCCCACAATTGCCCTGGGACTTGTTTCCCCAATTGAAAAAAATGGAAGAATGACCAATGGCATCCCTTCTAAATGCCAGCTTTGATGACTCTGGTACAAGCACCACTGGCATGTTACACTCATCTGGGAACATTCTCTGACCTAGTGGCACAGGCAGTATCAGCTGCTCCCCAGAGAAGTTCTCAGAGCAATGATGGTTAACGTGGCAGGTGCTGGTCCATGAGTAGCCTGTCAAATTGATACGTTTGTAACTAGCAGGTAGCCTGTTTGTCTAGATAGAGGCATCACAGGTTTTCAGGACAATGTGAATCTGAAAAATTTTGGTTGAAGAAGAAATACGGCAGCTGAAGCAGATCTGTGGCTTCAGGTGGCTTGACTTCTATAATGATATGCATTACATGACAAGAATCTCTTCTAAACTTGCAGGGGAACTACCAAGTTCAAGTTCTTTTCACATGAAGACATGACTAACATGTGCAATGGGCACCCAGTAGTACATGCTGCTCAGTCCATGGCCCGAGAGATAGAGACCAGCTCTCAGCTTTGGTTGTGGAAATCCTCGAGTTTTCCTATCTGTATTTCCTTAACATTTCTACAATGATGATTTGTTTTAATTTTTTATACTCATTACAGATGAGATGGAGATCAAATGATTGAAATATAACACATGAGAAGAACCAAATTGGGGAGGTAGCTCATTTTCTGCTTCAGAATGTTTGTCTAGCCCACTCTGGGAGTATTTGAATGCTGTGTCAAAAGAGGCAGAGTTCCTGGCTCTGGCATTGCTCTTAATGATGCTCAGTAGTCCACTTGCTACATATGTGCTGCAATGGAAATCAGAGGCCTAATGCCCACTTGGGAGCTCTGGTGGCGTAGTGCCTAAGGCATGTGACTGCTAACCAGAAGGCTGGCGGTTCAAACCATCAGCCACTCCTTGGAAGGAAGACTGAGCAATCTACTTCCATAGTGATACTGCCTCGGAAACCCAAGGAAGGGTTGCTTTGAGTCAGAATTGACTCCACAGCAGTGAGTTATTTTTTAATGCCCACTTTTCATTGGATAAACTAGAGGGCAATTTATTTTATTTTTTTATTTACTGATATATAATTTACATACAATTCTCCCATTTAAAGCACACAACTCAATGGTTTTTAGTATATTCACAGAGATGTGCAGTCATTACCATAATGCATTTTTAGAATGTTTTCATCACCCTCTGCCCCCCCCCCAAAAAAAAAACCTCTTGTACCAATTAGCAGTCACTCCACAGATGCTACCCTTTTCCCCTAGGCCTAAATAAACACCCATCTATTTTCTTTCTCTATTTATTTGCCTATTCTGGACATTTCATAAAATGAAATCATATAATATGTAGCCTTTTATGAACGATTTCTTTCACTTAGCATAATGTTTTAAGATTCATCCATGTTGTACCATGGATCAGTCAGTCCTTCGTTCTTTTTATGTCTGAATAATTCTCCCTTATATGGATATACCAATTTTTTTTTTAATCCATTCATCATTTTGATGAACATGTAGGTTGTTTCTCCTGGCTACGCACCTGGAGTGAAACTGTAGGATCATATAGCCCTGGTGTTATAGTGGATAAGACATTTGGCTGCAAACAAGAAGGTCAGTGGTTCAAACCCACCAGCCATTCAATGGAAGGAAGATGGGGCAATCTACTTCCATAAAGATTTACAGCCTCGGAAACCCAATGAGGGTTGCTATGAGTTGGAATCGACTCAATGACAGTGAGTTTGGTTTTTTGGTTTTTTATGGTAACTGTATATTAAACTTTTTGAGGAACTGTCAGACTGTTGCCCAAAGTGGCTGTACTATTTTACATTCCATGAGTAATGTGTGTGGGTTCCAATCCCCCATATCCTCACAAACTTTATTTTCCTTTTTTCATTATTACAGCCATTTTAGTGGGCATGAAGTGATATCCCAAGGGGAACACCCTCAATGAGATGAACTGACACAGTGGCTGTGACAATGGGCTCAAGAATGGCAATGATTGTGAAGATAATGCAGGACCGGGCATTGTCTCATTTTGTTGTACAGAGGGCGGGAAAGGAGAGAAAATGCCACGGGGGACCAAGACAGAGTGAGGAAGCAGTCGCAGGGATCCGGATAAGGCAAGGGACCCAGGACCTGCCCCTAAGTGGCAGGAAAGAGGCAGGGATCAATGTAAGGGGAGGGTGGAGAGGTTTCAAACAGCTAAGGGAGACAAACTTATCTGTCAGTTTGTCCTATTGTGGTGGCGTGTTGCTGTGAGGCCTGAGGCTGTGCCACCAGTGTCTTAAACCCAGCAGGGGTGCACATGGTGCACAGATTTAAATGCAGCGTATAGACTGACACAGACTAGAAAGACGGAGGAGGTCATCCACTTCTCAAAGAATTGGCCAGGGAAAACCTTATGAACAGCAGAGAAATACTGTCTGATACATTACTGCGCAACTTTATGAATACCCCAGAAACATTATCCGATACAGTGAAGGAGGATAAGCCACTTAGGTTGGAAGGCTCTCAAAATAGGACTGGGAAAGAGCTGCATCATCAGAGTAGAACCAGCCTTACTGATATGGATAAGATAAAGCTTTTGAGACTTCCACTTGCTGATGTGGCACGACTCAATTTGAGGAGAAACAGCTGCAAACATCCATTAATAACCGGAACATGGGATACACGAAGTATGAATCTAGGAAAATTGGA